TGCCCGCGTGACACTGCTGCATTGGGGAATTGTCGTGCCAGGCCTCCGCGGGGGAACTCATGAAGTGGACAATTGACTGGCTCCCAACAGGTCAGTGTCAAATACAGAATGACAGATACAGGGAGGAAAGAGAAGAGTATGGAGTTACTTGGAATTGTTATGAGACTAATATTATGAAAGGAACGATGATCAAGCATCAAGCAGCCCTCTTGTGGACCACTCTTTTTGGAGAGAGCGTGTATAATGCTCATCAAAACATTTGTCTGATGAAGTGCTAGTTTACGAAATGTTACTTAACTGCAAATAAAGCTCAGCATTTGCAAGTAAGACAGTGTGTGGGGCTTTTTTCCTACTTTTCATACTTCATATATTCCTTGTGAGGGAAATTCATTCTCTGCATTTGACCCATCTTTCAATTAACATCACTGGGTCAACACAAAAGTGCAATTAACAATTATATCACAATAATAATTAAAGTTGCTTTGACAGTTTAAAAATGTTATGGATAAGAATGAGTTATAATGTTAATATTATGAATAGGTTCAATATTTAAACAACTGTTAGAGTATTGTACTTTGTTATAAGTGAAAACAACATTGATCTAAAAGAGAACATCATGGATAAGTAGCTTTTTTCTTCACATTCTCCTGATAAAATGGCGAATATTTTTCTTAGCGATTATCACCATTATATAAAATGATCCACGAACGATTATTGCATATGCTTTTATAACAATAAGCAATATTGTTTATTGTCCCATCCCTACGCGTGAGTGCTACCCACTGTACTGTGATGTTGTTTTATGCTAATTCTGATATAGATCAAGATCATTCTAAGGCTACGTGTACACTGAACCGAATCACCGTATCACTGTATCAGAATTTTTTTGCGTCCAGACACGTTGTTTCTGTGTCTGCAAACCTTCTCTATCCACAAGCTTTGCGCATATTAGTTTACGTTTTACAGAAACAAAACTTAAAACCGCGTGGCTAATTTGCAGAAACTGAGCTCAAATAACAGCTCACTATTGTGCACTGATGCAGTTCAGCTTCTGTCGGACTAAAAGACATGACTCAGTGGAATATATGTGTTCTTTCTATGACAGAGGGGTGTTCTGTTCAGTGCATCTATCGCATTAGAGATGGTTAATTTTAAACTTTACTGAGATTATACATCTGCAAGTAATACGCATGGACAATATATATGAATGGACATATAGTCTAGCATTTTGGCAGTGAATTACTTCATGGTGCATAGACCTACGTCAGCGTATCAGTGTTTTCAGGCGTCCACATGATGCCAGATCAGATCTGTACTCAGATGAATTCATTGGAGCTGGCAGCACCAGATCGTTCCGTCTCTGGAGTCTTTTTCTATCTGATTAGTGTGGACGAACACTGCCACCACAACAAAAATGACTCAAATATGTACTAGTGTGCATGGGCCTAAAACTATTGGGAAAAGGTCCAACTTTGTCCAACTTTGCCCAACTCTAGGTGCTTGCAAGGTTATATTTTCTATACTAATTGATTAACATTAGTTTGTTGGGGAAACTGCTGATCCCTGAGGCAACCCATCAGGATATTGTTGCTGATTTTGAGCTTTCTGTGAAAAATCTGTGGGGCTTTTCATTGGAACACTCTTTACACAAGTTTAATCAGTTTTTTATTGACGAATCAGAATCTTATCATTAGTTCTTTGGGGAAAGCGCTGATCCCTGAGGCGACCCACCAGGATTTTGAGCGATCATAACTCCATGCAGAAGACTCCCACACAGTCTAGGAATTGAACCTGAAGACAGTGAGGCCAGAGCTAACTACTCTGCCGCCATGCTGCTATTGGTTATCTATTATGTGTGATTTTTTGACCTTCCTGTGAACATCTGCCTTTATAGTTTTATTTTCTCAGTGGAACACTTCCTACACAGGTTTAATTACCTGTATTGAAGAGTCATAATGTGTAAAGATAATCATTTGGACACATAAAAGTTATTGTGCAAAAATGAGTTTACAATTTCTTCTCAAGGCTAGATTAAATTTTGCAACTACATTTTTCTATTTATGATGGACCCAGTGCCATATTGTTCAATGTACCTGCACAACTCCTTTTGTACCATACTCCATTCATCGGAAAGAACCAGCAGCTAAGACCAGACTGCTAGTGAGAGTCTATAGCTTGTAATACAGTCTTACATTTTGAAAAGATAATACTGTAATCTTTTCATACACAATAGTATCCATTGGAACAGCCTTGAGAGTTTTCTTCGCCGTCTGAAGAGTACACAGTGGACAATACTGAGGGAGAAAGCAAATGTCAAGTCATTGCGGAATTGAGGGATTGTTATTGCTGTTGCTTCAACATATTTATTCTATACTGAAAAGATGTCCTCGCCATTTGACCCATCTTTCAGTGCAGTTGGAGGAATCTATTAAAGGTCCTTTATTATGCAAAACTGACTCTTGTGAGCTTTAAGCCATGTTATAATGCTAAACTTTTGCCCAGTTGACACATTGAATTTCTCCTTTGCTGTGGATTCTACCTAGCCAGACTGACGCCACCTAGTGCCTCTGGTGTTTGGTGAATTTTATCAAGGGGAAAGACGTTAGTGCCCTTCTTCCTATGGGATTTGGGAAAAGCTAAATATACTAGTTAGCCTCGTTAGCGGCCTATTACATACATCACGACCAAATAGCAGCGACTGGTTAAATTAAAAAAACTACCCGCCTACTGTCAAGTAGGAGTGCTGCGAGGTCAGACGGTTTCCACGAAGTGAAACCAGCTGATAAATCAGGCTAGATTCCCTAGAATCCCTGGACAACTGAGGGATTTTAAACATGTAATAATGCTGTTACCTCCTCAAAAACATGCCTGGAGTTGTGTTTTGCTTCATTCACACATCTCCAAAGCACAAAATGCTCTGTTCCACCTTGTGATGTCATGCAGTGGTAGTTTAAAGGTTAACAGCTTTTACCTTTTGTTCAGTAGAGATTGGTAGTTCTAGGGATGAAAGTATCCATATGATTGTAGTGAAGGTGTCAACTCCAGATATGTTTGTGATGAGGAAACAACATTATAAAATAGATCAGGAAATAGTGTAATTTAAGCCCTTTAACTGGTGTATCTTGGGTTTCATCTCCAGATTTCAAGCCAGGACTACCTTGTTGACGGATAGTTGCTGTTACGTTTCTCAGCACATTTTCCCCTGTCATGGTTCTAGTGGATTAATCGGCAAATTCTAAATGGATATCCTGCTGACGAAAGGGAAGAGACTGTGATGTTTTGCCAGACAACTTTTAAAAGTGTCTGAACTAGTGGAAAAACGTGTTTGTGCCAGAGAGTTTTGACAAGTTTGTGAGCTTTAATGCTGTTACCTCATCAAAAACATGCCTGGAGTTGCATTTTGTTTTATTCACACGTCACACATTATTTGTCTATCTCCAATGCTTAAAATGCTCCTTTTAGTTCAATAAAGATCCTTGTTAGTTCAATAGAATCCTCCAAATGATTTTAGTGAAGGTGTTTGGAGTTGGAGTGGCTCAAATTAGGTAAATCATCAACAAATTTTTATTAACTTAAATCAAACTGAACAGAACAAAACTAACCCAACCAGACAAAGAACAGGAGTGTTTAAATACATGAGGGCCAACTAAAACTGAACACAAGAGGGAGGAATAACACTAAATAATGAACTAAAACTACTAACTTAACCAAAGTAACAAGAAGGCAAATAAGTATAATACAGAAAATATTAAGTGATAATAAAGTGACCTTCAACAAACTAGACAAACTAACTTAGGGGCCGACACACACACACAAAAGTTTTTTTGGACAAAACGGAGAAGTTTGTAATTCCTTTTGGCCTTTCGTTCACACGGAGCCGGCGTTTCGGGTGAGCGAAAACTGAGTTTTTTGAGAACAGGTTCCAGAGTGGAGAAATATGAGAACGGCAGCGTTGCGTTGTCGTGTGGACAAACAAACTGCAGCTTTTGGAAAACGATGACGTCAGGATCCGGTCATCGCCAGGGTCCTCTGATGCAGCGAAGCCTGCAGCCCTCCAACTAGCCTCCACAGACCTCAAGAGCATTGCCAAAATGAGACAGGTGTAGCCTACAGAGCCGCTCCCATCACCCAGAAACTGAGACACTCTGGTAGCGCCAATACTAACAACATGCACCACAGATTACGCACAAGGATCAATAACAAAGACTACGTGTACAATGAAACAAATACACGTATCACTGTATCACAAACGATCTGCATCCAGACACGTCGTTTCTGTGTCTGCAAGCCTTCCCTATCCTTCCCTAAGCCTTTCTGTGACTTATGTTTAACTTTTGCAAAACAAAACAACTATATTTCTGGGATACATCTAAAATAGACAAAATTACCTTAAAGTTTAAAAAAACGGTGATGAGACATTGTTAACAGCACAACATACAGGTGTGGCAGATGTATTACATGATTTTCACTCGGTGCTCCGTTGTCGTATATTTATATTTACTGATCCAGCACGTGTGTGGACACAATTTTTTTTCAACCTGCAAAGAAAAAATCCAGGGGCGTTGTCGTGTGGACGTAGGCTTAAACTAACTAAATAGTGCCCTCCTCCTTTGTTCGGCATGGATGGGTTTACCGTCTGACTACTCAAACTAAACAAAAAAAAAAAAGTGGAGCTAAAATGTGTGCACCCAAATTAGAATATTAGTCTAAATAAAGTAATTAATGGAAATGAAATAATTCACAAAACACTGTGGAGTGGTGGCAGAGCTATCCACAACAACACATATGAATCCTGTTCCCTGTGGTCTGCCCTCAATGCAAAGGGTTCCAACTTGAGCTGCTTGATTTTGACACTGCAGTGTTAACAATACATTGCAATATGTCTTTATCTGCAATGTTGGTTTACTATTTTCACATTTTTTCCTTATAAACATCCAATTTCACTGTCATTTCTCATAAAACAACTAAAAAACTCACATTAAATTATCTGTGTTTTTCAGGTCTGATGGGGCACAATGGCTTCCCCAAACCGTGCGAGCATAAGTACTGTGGTCTTGGTCGTCACTGTGTGGTGGATGAGGGCACAGGTCTGGGGGAGTGCGCGTGTCTGGATCAGTGTAAACCGCACTACAAACCCGTGTGTGGATCTGACGGACAGCTCTACCCCAACCACTGCGAGCTGCACCGGGCCTCCTGTCTGCGAGGACACAAGATCACCATCCTGCACAGCGAGGAGTGCTTCTACAAAGGTAAGGGAAACATCGGCAGCTCGTTTCCAAATTGCTGGTTTCTCTTTCTATTGTCTAGTAACCCTATGCTATTTAATGGTGAAGGGGCGATCATTATACAATACATTACGCAGTGGGGGAAGAATTACTCAGTTTTGTTACTTAAAAGTACAGTGTAAAAGTGCAAATAACACAGCAAAAAGTACAAAAGTAAAAGTATCACCTAAAAAATGTTCTTAAGTAAAAGTATTAAAGTACCCGTAAGTATTTCACACACTTCAAGTGGATTGATTTTGATAAAGATTTGTGCTGAATTTTGTTCAACAAAAATAATTTAATTGATTGCTTTTTCTAACAGATTTTAATTGTAAATTTTGGTTTGCTCGAAGCGTGAACAAACCCCTCAGCCTTTTCAGCAGGTCTCAAACTATGATTTAAAAAACACTTTTACTCTTCAGTCCAGTTAAAAAATGTTGCGGAGCACAAAGTGCAGATATCTTCTCTCAAATGTAGTGGAGTAAAAGTAAAAAAAATAAAATAAAAATCTAATTTTAAAAGTATAGATACCTAAAATGTGTATTTTAGTGCAGTACTTTACTAGCCAGGCTGGCACTACCTAGTGCCTCTCCAGTGACTAGGTCAGGAATCGGAATACACTAGACGGTTTGTAAGAACCCTGGAAGTTGTAGATCGCACACTGATCAATCAGTGAAGAGCTGTGAAGCCATGACTTCAAACTCTGTCTGGGTCCCTTTTGTGGAACAGCACAATAGTAAACAAAGCGTTCGAGATGGATGTAGACAAAGCCATACATTCTGTGTTGGCAACGATTCCTGAGATCGAGAATTTAAAGCTGGAACTAGGGATGGGCATTCGATAAAATTTTCTTAATCGATCGTCGGGAGAATTAACGATTGATTATCGATTAATCATTAATGTTTTTTATATTAAAATTTATCATCATTATTGTTACTATCTGCACTAATCTGCATAAATAAATTCAGCTTTACGACATATAAACCGTAACCACATCAGCCTGTTTGACATTATAATGTGTTTAATGCAGCTTTGCACAAATTTCACAGAAACGAAACTTAAAACTGCATCGCTAATTTGCCTAAATTAAGTGAAGAAAAAAAACAGCTCTTGTGCGCTGATGTGGCATGACCCATCCGGGGGGAGGGAGGTGGGGCCTCGTCATCAACATTGTGCTACTCTCACCTGGCAAAGCTTTTTCCCACTGGACACCGAAAACATATGTGCTGCTTTGTACACTGTGCACATGGACTCACACTTGTCCCGACCGGAATGGAAAGCGTGGAATTTCTTGTACAAGTCCTCGTTAAATACACATTTGCACTTTGGCACAAGCTGACCTTCTGAGTGCACAGAGCTACATGTACGGACCCGTTTGGTGACGCTACACACAGCAGCCTACATTTGGTTTGTCGATTAAAATTAATGTAATCGATTCAATTCTTAATGATCAATTATCGATTATTCAACTAATCATGCCCATCCCTAGCCAGAACAAAGAGAATGTTTGGTGAATTTTATTACATATCACAACCAAATAGCAGTGATTGGTTAAATTTTAAAAAGTACCCACCTACCATCTAGCGATCGAATCCTAATGATGTGAGGTCACACGATTTCCACGAAGTGAAACTGGCTGATGTATCAGGCTAGTACTTTACTACTTGTACTGTATTTGCGTTACGTTCCACCACCAGGTGTCTCATTATAGAATTCATAATTCATGTATTTTTACTGTTGGTTTGTAGAATACTTAACATTGAACAACAACAAAACCCATGACAAATGGTCTGATATTCCATTCGTGTAACTTCATACAGTAAAAAGCTTTAGAGAAAACTATATATTGTATTTCTGTAAACAGTAAATTGGACAGATACAGATTGCTGTCATGCTAATTAAACAAAAAGTAAGAAATATTGTCAAGCTGTAGTAATGACGCTAGCTATTTTATAATTGACAGATGCAATCACATGTACAACTTTTGGGTTGGGTTTAGCTTTGATGGAATTTAGATATTGGTGCTAAACATCAAAAAATCATTCAGTGCAGCTAATATTTCATTGAAAATGAATTGTACATGTATTTCAAAACATATACTGCAAAAGGCAATATCTAGATAAGTTTAAATGACTTAAAATAAGAACTTTTCACTTTGTATGAGTAGATTTAAACGGAATAAGTGTGTTTTTCTTAATTCAAGCAACGTTAGACTGTGTTTCTTATTTGAAGTCGCAAGCAAAGAGTTGTTGTTTTTTTGTAGCAAGATGTATTTTCATATTTCAGTGTCAATCAAAATTTACTCTTATAATGATAAAACTTTCTTAATTCAAGTCATTTTAACTTGGCTAGATTTGAGTTTTTGCAGTGTACTGTCATAAGATCTTCCTTCTGTAGACTCGTGGTCACATTTTACTGCACATTTGCACTGGTACTATATAAACGTCCCATAAGGCACAGTAGGAGTAATGGCTGCTTGAATCGTTTGCGAGGTATTACACATACAGAAGCTGTTCGTTCCCTCTGGCTGCACCCATGGGTGACAAACATCAGGCTGTGGGCAGTTTAATGCTACGCTTGACCTGTCAAATCACACGGGCTGCATGTAGGTTAGTTATGACCTGGAGGAATGGGGAATGAAAGGGAACTAAAGATAGGAGGTAGCATACAAAATCTTGCCTGGGATCCAGAACACACACTTCTCCAAAGATGTGAGGGCTGTTGTGATGTGATATTTGATGTTAGAGGTGAGGAGGTGATTACTATGTTAGCTTTTATTGTTTTTTATTCACAGAAAACAACGTGTTTACATGTTTCACTTTTGTTTTCACTAATTACGGACATACACTGTGCTATATTTTCGATCATTTCACTCAACCCCAGCTCAGATTGTACGACCAAATCACAGGGTTTAAAAGTTGACAGGTCATGATTCATGTCACGATTGCTGATTGGGAGCTGGTCGTGAGGTATTAATGGGTTCTCGTTACCCCATGTGTACTAGGGGTGTGAAAAATATCTAAATCTCGATATATTGTATTGTATAATGTAATGATAAAGTATCGATATTGTGGGAGAGGATTTTTTGGTATATTTTACTAAATTATTTGGTTACAGCGCGACAGTTTTGTTGCCTTTTTAGCAGAAGGAAACTTGTTTATGTGACACATTTGACATTTTCACTGTTTTGAAGAATAAAATGTTTGGGTTTCATATTAAGTTTGCACAAGACGTGGTTTAACAAAGACTTTTAGTGTCACAGCCATGATTTACTGTATGTATTTTTGTATCGAATTGAAATATATCACTCACTGTATCGAGGTATGTATGGTATTGGCAGCTCCCTAATGAGCCCTAATGTATACTACACGAAGCACAGCCCACAATTAGGTGAAAATGCTGCCCAATCCCAAAAACTAGTCACGCGAGTGAAGGATCAGCTCAAAAAGGGACATTTACACATTTTCACAGTGTACACTCGCCATTCACTCCTCCTTCAGAGTGTTACCACAACAGTCAGCGTGCATCCCACTAATGAAGCTACTGAACATCGCATCAGGTTTCTCACGTTGTTGTGTCCAGTTTTGTAACATGTTTTTGTATTTTTATGTAGAATTGTCAAGTGGGAGCTTGGGGGGTGTTGCCTTGTTTGGATTTTACATGATAGAGTTCCCACGGTTATGGAAGTCCTGGAAAAGTCATGGAATTTTGTACATTCACTGAAAGTTTTTGAAAAACTCCTGGAATTTTAGTATCTCTTTCACGCAACTACAGAGTTCTGTTTAGTTCTCATTAGGCTATTATGATTATTTCTGAACGTCTGCGCCTTTTGTTTAAAAGAGACGACAATAAATACACTGACAGTATTTTGAATGTTAAAAAATCTATAATACCAGTGGAAAGGGTTAACATTTCATACTTTGCCCTAAAAGTCTGATCAATACTACACATGTAGGTGCTGTAAAGTCATGGAAAAATTCACTTCAAAAGTCAAGAAAATGTTGTCAGTGAGAACCCTGTCTTTAAGAACTGGGATATTATTGCAACATTTTAACATACTTTTTGACTCAATAATTTCAGTAATAATAGCATGAAAATGCTTTATTTTACTACTGAAAATGTCCAAATAAAAACTTGACAGAGAAATAACTAAATCAAGGCTCATTTTTGACTTAATAAGAAAAATCATTAATCCAGTCACCGTTATTTAACATATTGTTTGTAATAAACAGTGCATTTTTGTCAGATGGAGAACCTTGATGTTCTTGTCATATATTGGCTATGTTGCTATATAGATTACTGCATCAGTGAATATCATGATATCAATACTTTTGTGATATATTGTGCAGCCCTGTGATCACCACTGAATCTCCAGGAGTTCAGATGGATGTGACTGACAGATGGATTAGCCAATCAGGGACATGTGTCAGTCTCAAAACAAATATGGCTGTTTATGAGGAAAAAAATTAATAAAAATAAAGAAATATCACAGAAATACGTAGCGGATGTCTGTAGAATCAATGAAAACTCGGTTAATCTGAGGAGAGAGAAATGTAATTTAGTTGTAAATGATAGGTGACCAAAGAGCCTCTTCTTGAGGCACTGAGATAGCTCAAGGTTAAGCATTTACACATTCAGAATAAATATGCATGCAAAGAAATAGAACAATTACCATATCATATAACTGTGGTACAATAAAACAGAGTAAAAAGGGAAAAAATGTGATTGTAATAATAATAAAAAAAAAAAGAAAACCAAATCTGGCTGCATTAACGTGTTTGGGAATATCTCAAGGCGCACTGAATGGAGCAGTGACCAGATTGATTAAAAAATAAATAAATAAAAAACAGCAAGATCTTTTTGGACTTGTCAGGCAATACAAAATCAAGATGGGGGAGTAGCTCAAATGTGTGAGATTTTGTAGCAAAGAGCGTTACCATAATCTGAGAGTTGGCTGCTGAAACTGCGTGTTTATCAGAGACTCT